TCTGGGTAGCTTCCAACATATAAAATAACATAATAAAACATTAAACATTTAAAAAACTTCTCTATACAGGTTTGCCTTCAGACGGCTCCGGGGGTGGTATAACTCCATACCCTCCAACATTTCTCCAAAGTGGGACATTCCGGGATCAAATAAGAAACTGAGACAGCTTCTCTAAATCAGGGATGTCCCTGGAAAATAGGGACATTTGAAGGGTCTGAAAGTGCAGAGTAATATTTTGGAAAGATGCTGTAGTGGTTAAGAGAGAGGGGGGGGAGAAGGAGGGAGAGATTGTGATTTGTTCCAGAGAAAATGCCCTTGCTAAATGCCTTCAAATTTTTGGAATTTCACAGAACCCCATGTTGTTTCCACCAGCTTGATTTCTTTATTAGATAAAAGGCCCAGCTTGGTTTCTTTATTAGATAAAAGGCCATTTGTTTCCAGAACATGCTGCTAGACTGCAGCCATCAAAACAGATGAGTTGGCTTTTTTAGGCATCCAAGATTATTCTCCTCTATGGCAAGGAGCCAGACAGCATGAACAAATGATATACTCTATCATATATGAGACAAATGCCTTCAGAGTGCACTCAGGCTATTGAACAGGCTTGTGATATATTCAGCAGAACCAAGGGGCAAAGCTTTGCCTGCACTGCAATGCTTTGAGCTGCAGGTACAAAGGTTGATAGGTTGGTAGGATGTTTAAATTGTTCCAATGAAATAAAATAATAAAATAAACCCCTGCACTCGGCAAATAGCACATGCATGTACGTTTGCGGGCTAGCCTACCTCTGATGTGGTAGTTATAATTTATTTTATACATGAGATTTATGGTTTTCTATATGCAGTGTATATAGAATATATAGAGCCTAGGGCTTGCCGATCGAAAGGTCAGTTCGAATCCCTGCGACGGGGTGAGCTCCCGTTGTCCGGTCCCTGCTCCTTCCAACCTAGCGGTTCGAAAGCTCGCAGTGTAAGTAGGTAAATAGGTACCACTCTGGCAGGAAGGTAAATGGCATTTCCATGTGCTGCTCTGGTTTGCCAGAAGCGGCTTAGTCATGCTGGCCACATGACCCAGAAGCTGTATGCCGGCTCCCTTGGCCTATAGAGCAAGATGAGCGCGCAACCCCAGAGTCACCTGCGACTGGACCTAATGGTCAGGGGTACCTTTACTTTTTATATGCAATGTTACATTTTCAAACATTCTGCCCCCTGGCATATCCTAAGCTACTTTAGAAACTGGCAAGCCACTGTGAGAACAGGATGCTGGACAAGATGGGCTATTGGTCTGATCCAGCAGGCTCCTGTGTTGTTATAAAACAGCTACCTTGGTTGTCAGTTTGTTTCGGGGTCCAATACAAGGTGCTCACACTTGTGCTGAAAGCCCTGTTTGACTCAGCACCCACAGACAGTTTGCATGGGCAGACTGTAACAAGCAGTTCTGGGTCCATTTATTTTAGTTTTGTCTTCAACTTGTGTATTTATTTATGCCATGCCACCAGAGCAGGAGATTACAATATCTGCATTTTAACAGTGCAACAACGAAAGATAGAGAAGAAAAGGAAGGATAGAGTGACAAGGCATGAATATGTGCAGAGACAGTTATATATGTCATATTTTCCCATGTATAAGATTACATTTTTTTCTGATTTTTTGTGATAATTTGAGGGTCATCTTATACATGGGTTAATATGCTAAGTAAGCGAGGGCTGGTGCTGTGGCAGAAGCAGGGAAATGTCAGAGGCGAGGCTGCTTACCCGCTCTTCCCAGTTTAGGAAGAGTATTTGGTGAGTGCCAGTATGTGGTGTATTACGGCACTAGAGCGGGGGATCATCGAAAAGCTGCTCAACAGCTCAGTGAACTTACAAAAGAAGCTCAGCAACTGTTGAGGGATCCCCAAAATAGGGATCATCTTATACATGGGGGTATTATACATGGAAAAATACGGTACTTATGTTTTGTTTCAGGTAGGAATCAGGGCTAAAGGCTGATTAAACCATAGGCTTCAAAGAGAAGTTGAGTTTTCCTTGTGAAGTGAAAAGAGAATTATTTTTTTATCCTATTATTGTCAGAATATCATGGATATTCTGATTTTAAAACTGGACTTGCTAGCCCATGAGTTAAATGAATGACTTCAAAAGTGATGTGGATTGACTAACTGGAATTAAAGGTCAGAGAGGAACAGCTGTGGTCTATTGGAGGGTTGGCTAATTGGTGGCACTCCAGATGTTGTTGGACTACAACTCCCATCATTCCTAACCGTTTGCTGTGCTGGCTGGGACTGACGAGAGATAGAGTCCAACAATATCTGGATAGTTGGAGGTTAGCCAGCCTGGGCCTATTCATCAACAGAAAGGAGTCATCAACAGCACTTTTCTAACCATGTCCATTCAGCAATAACCCCTATAAATCTGAACAAAAAAATTTCCTTCCAGTAGCACCTTAAAGACCAACTAAGTTAGTTCTTGGTATGAGCTTTCGTGTGCATGCACACTTCTTCAGATACCAATTTATACCCTATAAATCTGGTGGGACTTACTCTTGGGCCGCTTCACACCATACACTGAAAAAATATGATACTACTTTAAACAGTCATGGCTTTCACGAAAGAATTATGGCAACCGTAGTTTGTTGAGTGTGCTGAGAGTTGTTATGGGAGCTCCACGCAACGCACAGAGTAGATTAGCAATCAATTCTTCTTCAAAGAGAATTTGGTAAATTGTAACTCGGCAATGGGAGTAGGGGTCCCCCAAGAACTCTCAGTGTCATGACAGTTCCCAGCAATATTTGGGGCAAGCCCATGACTGTTTGAAGTGGAATAAGAGTGCTTTAAATGTATGGTGATGTTGTGTTAGTTTGTAATCCTATACTCAGCCTAACACAACCACACCACACACTTTTAAAGTCATGGCTTCTGCAAGGAAACTTAGGAACTGCTGTTGGTTTAGGGTGCTAGGGATTGTAGCTCTGAGTGGTGAACTATAGTTCCCAGGATTCTATAGGGGAAGCCATGTGCTTTAAATGGATAATGTGGATGCGACCTAAGGCTGCAATCTGATGCCCTCTTCCATGAGGTAAAGCCCCACTGAATGCACTGGACTTTTCTTTTGAGTAGACATGTAGGATTGTTCTCCCCATTCCCCAGGTTTGAAGCATCAGGATTTTACTCAGCTTGCTAAGGCTGTCAAGTCTCGTTTGCTGCAGAAATGATAATGCTTTGGCACTGGACAATGCACAAATGTTTAAATTGCTTGAAATGTCTAATTGAATTACCTTCAAATTGCAAATCAAAAATGGGAAAGGCTGTCTCCGACTCACAGGCTCACTCACACGGATGTGTCTGCTGCCTTTCCCCCTCGCTCTCCTTTGATTGTGTGAAAAGAGATCTTAAATGACGATAGGATGCGGTCTAATTTTGGCTATTCAAAATAGACTTGAGTATGGTTCAGAAACATCACTTCAGATGCTGGAAGGGAGAAGAGCAAAGCGACTATAACAGGGGAAATATATGATTCAGCAAGTCCAAAGGCTGGATTGTGGATGCCAGGGGTCCCCAAACTAAGGCCCACGGGCCGGAAAAGGCCTGAGGGACTTGTTTATCCGGCCTCGCGGCAACCCCCGCCTCCCGCTGCCACTGCCCGCTCTTACCAGCGCTGTGCTGCGTGGCTGCCCACTTCCGGGTCGGAGGAGCACTGGAAATAGCGTATGGGCACGCGCTCCCCCACCCTCTGGCCCACTGCAGGATCACTGCTGGAGACACCGGCCCGAGGCGCGGTAAGTTTGCTGACCCCTGGTGGATGCCTTCAAAGTTTCACAAGAAGCATGTTTTCAATTATGATTATTTCATATTTCATATTTCACCATAAGAAGAGCCCTGCTAGCACAGGCCAGGGGTTCACCTAGTTCAGCATTCTGTTCTCACAGTGGCCACTCAGATGTCTGTAGGAAATCCACAAGCCGGACTCAAGCATGAGAGACCAGAGCTCTCAATTCCAAGCAACTGGTTGGCAGCTCCAAGGGAAAGGTAAAGGGACCCCTGACCATTAGGTCCAGTCATGGCCGACTCTGGGGTTGCGGCGCTCATCTCGCTTTACTGGCCGAGGGAGCCGGCGTACAGCTTCCGTGTCATGTGGCCAGTATGACTAAGCAGCTTCTGGCGAACCAGAACAGCACACGGAAACGCCGTTTATCTTCCCGCCGGAGCGGTACCTATTTATCTACTTGCATTTTGACGTGCTTTTGAACTGCTGGGTTGGAAGGAGCAGGGACTGAGCAATGGGAGCTCACCCCGTTGCGGGGATTCGAACTGCCGACCTTCTTATCAGCAAGTCCTAGGCTCTGTGGTTTAACCCACAGCGCCACCCGCATCCCTGGCAGCTCCCAACAGAATATTAAAAACAAGATAAAACATCAAACATGAAAAACTTCCCTAAACAGGGCTGCCTTCAGATGCTTTCTAAAAGTTGGGTAATTCTTTATCTCCTTGACATCAGGTGGGAGGGCATTCCACAGGGTGGGTGCCACTACCGAGAAGGCCCTCTGCCTGGTTCCCTTTAACTTGGTTTCTTGCAGTGAGGGAACCACCAGACGGCCCTTGGAACTGGACCTCAGTGTCTGAGCTGAACGATGGGGGTGGAGACACTCCTTCAGGTATACTGGGCCGAGGCCGTTTAGGGATTTAAAGGCCAGCACCAAAACTTTGAATTGTGCTCAGAAACATACTGGGAGCCAATGTAGGTCTTTCAGGACCGGTGTTATAAGGTCTTGGCAGCAGAGTAGGGTATGAATGGTGAAACTTGCTGATCCAGGCACAAGTTACTCAGGCTGTGCACACTTATATGGGAGATGGCCTCATTAAACTGATTTTAACTTCCTTCCAAGTAAAACGGATCAGGCTGTTGATCCCGGCGCTAGGAACAATTAAAAGCATTTTGACATGTCACCTTCGCAGCACATAGTAAGCAAAGTGTTCATAGCTATACACATAAAAAGAACAAGACGGGAAACTTTTTATAAGTACATTTTTATTTAAAATAAAAATTAGTTATGGTGCCTTTTTAAATAGGGTACTGCACAATCTGTATATGTGACACAGGTTTGGTTTTTTTTGTTTTTTGTTTTTTTGGTACAGAACATATGTATTGAGCAATATCCTTAAATGCTAAATATACATTAATGGCTTGTCTTAGAAACATGACAACATTAATTTTGAAATTGATTTTGGCCATGATCCAAGGAGCTCCATGCAAAGCTTCTGAGCCTCCCCTTCCTAAAGCAGCCACTTTGGTGCGTCCAAGAGGCGCTTGTGCTCCTCCCTGGGAAGGAACTCTTTGAATCATGGCCATACTCCGTAGTCATTTAACCACTGGTACAGATTTCCTATGAACAGTAGTAGCTGTTTTAATCTGTACACCTGGTACACAGTCAAGAAGGCAGATCTTAAGAGTATTTACATTCATGCATTGGTTTTTAACACACTATCTTTGCAGTTTAAAAATCATATATTTGTTTGTAGAGATGCAGGGGAGGGGTTGTGAAGAATATATAAAAATATATTTATAACAGTCACGATTCTCCATTGTCTTAGACTATGAGTTGTTTTATATACCTGTGCAGAGCGAGTACAAAATGGGTACAGGGACAGGTTTATACTCAGTCCTGCATGGTATAAACCAATCTGCAAAGTGCGAGACAATGGAAATTCAGGTTCATAGCTATATAATATATGGCTAGCATCCAGACACATTTAAGCACTTTTAAGCTCCATTTCAAGGGGATTATTTTATTCATATTTTTTTAAATTAAGAAAACGTGCTTTCTTCTACTCGCCCACTGAAATAAATGGGATTCAGAAGTGCTTGAATGATGCTGGATCATGCCCTCTCTGTATACAGTATCTATGCCATAAATCTTTTTTATTATGGAACAAAGTTGCAAAATATGGAAATCTTAGCTCTTTGGGTCAAATTATGGCACACAATCTGCTAGTCTTAGGCAGGGCAATGCTAGGATACACCCAGCTGAAAAGCTTGCTCACTACATGCCCCCTAGGTATGTAGAGCATTTCAGCATCTAATTTTAGAGAATAAAAAATAAACTTTAAATCCCTGTAAATGGCTATCTTTTCAGTGTAATGGGTCCCCATTGTAAAGAAGCTTTTATCTGTCAAGACTTGTACATTTCACTGGTATTTAATGGAAAGGTTTGTTTTGTTTGTTTTTTTTGCAAGCAACTGGTAGAGTTTTGAACAAAACCCTGGTTATATTTCAAAGCTCTGGGAGTCAGCTCCTGAAAGCATTGCTTAACTTGCCCTTCAGCTCTGAAGATTGAGGACCGAGCCATATGCTCAAAAGAATCATATGGTACCATCCTCTAAGCACGTACATAGTTTTACTCCCCATTGTAAAAAATAAAATAGGATTTCTCGGCATACAAAATGTAGGGGACGCAAAAAGCTATCTGGCACGCTAGCTCCTCCCTGCTCCCAGTTACAAGTTTTTGGGGTGTGTCATATAGACACAAGTCCCTCCATCTGCCCTCTTCAGTGGTACAGTATTAAGGCTCTACCTCATTCATATCTTTATGTTCTGATTTTTAGCTCAGTTGGAGATTAGGACAGACTCTTAAAGTGCCCCACGTTGAGCAAAAGATTTCTGCATTGCAGGGGGTTGGACCCAGGGCTATCTTAAGCATATGTGGCGCTGGGGTGCAAAGATAAGCTAGAGACCCAAGTTTGGGAAACCCTGGTTTACACCGGACCTTCAGATGGGGGAGATGCTGTGGACTGAATTTGGGACCTCAAGGCAGATGTTCTTGCCCCAGCACATCTCTTCTAAATGACTGGTTGTGTGTACAGCACATATAAAGCAGGCATCCCCAAACTCGGCCCTCCAGCTGTTTTGGGACTACAACTCCCATCATCCCTGACCACTGGTCCTGTTAGGTAGGGATGGTGGGAGTTGTAGTCCCAAAACAGCTGGAGGGCCGAGTTTGGGGATGCCTGATATGAAGCATATCACATTGAATTAAAATAAACGTATTTCAAAATCTATCTATCTATCATCTATCTCTCTATCTTTTATTCCTGCACTATGTCATACCTATGACACAATAAAATAGAAAGGATCGGGGTGAGGGTGTCAACTACACTGAAAATAGCTTGGCAGTGTAGAAAAAGCAAACCGACCCAGATAACAATTGTTGCAGCATTAAGGGGGAAAGTGCAATTATAAATATTAAGTGACAGTGGATTCCATTGAAAATATGTCAATCAAAACAACCCTAGGTCAAAAAATGGCAACTGTTTTTGAGCAACTCTATGCTCCAAGAACACAGAAGCTGTGCACCAAACTAACTGGAAGGAGTATGGAATGAATGACTCTTTCTTTTTTCATTCTACCTTCAGCAAGTCTTGACATTTAAAAGAATATAAAGGGTTAAAAAAAAACCCCCAAAAAACACACAACCACCTTTCTAGCTATATTCTCAGACAGGGAAGAAAGGTCAGTCAGGGAAGTGAACGAATTTCCACTGAATTCTTTTGCAAGGGTAAATAGCAGCTTTTTGTTTTGTTTTCCCAGATATATTTACACATAACACTTTCGTAAAAACCCAAATCTCAAATATTTCATGGAGGATAGGTCTAAGGGCCCAGTCAGAAGGTACTTTTGTATAGAGGAACTCCATGTGGTACCATTCTGGGCTCAAAGATTCAAATGTTTAGGCCAAAATGACTTAGGTCTCAAACATCTGAAAGATGGCCTCCTTCCTTACCGACCTCTTGGGTGCTGAAATCAGTGGGGGGGGGCTCTTGGTAGTTCTACAACTCTCAGAATTTGGGGGGGGGGAGGAGGCATTCTCTGTGGCACCACTGAGGTTGTAGAATTTCTTCCCCACAGAGGTGCACCTTCATTGCACAGTTTTTGTCAAATGCTGAAGACTCATTTCCTTTCCTTGACACCTGAGGGATATATTTCCAGGACCCACATTTTTCCTGTTATTGTAATTTCTTGTAAACTGATTTTTAAATATTTAATCTTAAGAAATGGCTATAATCTGCCCTAGCGTCTTATGGTGAAGGTCAGGTAAGAAATCTAATTATTAATAATGATAATAAGAAATAACAATGGGGGTTAACCTTGAGTTTCCCTGTGTCCCCCCCCCCCTCTCTCTCTCTCTCTTGCCATCACCTTTTATCTTTTAAGGAAGGTGTTGAGATGCAGAACATTACGTGAGAGACAGTCTACATAGAGAGATGCTGTGTGGACACACCTAGCACCATCTCTTTTGTTACTAAAACCGTGTTTTTCCTCTGAAAAGAAAATAATGGTTAACCAAACCCTCACGTCTCCAAATATCACAGAGCTTCATGTTAGTCATACTCAGAGCAGATCCATTTCTGGTTGGCTGTGAGTATCACCTAGTTGACAATTAACTTTGACACCCTGAGCCAGTGACCTTACCAGAGATGAATATGGTGGTAGTGATCATTGAGAGCACCAAAGGAGCCAACTCCAAGGCGCTGAGGTCCTTTTGGCCCCCCCCCACTGAAATATTTGAGGGGACAGTCCCCCAAATGTGATGGCCACTGCCATTTAAATGGTGTGTGAGCTGCATCTTGTGATTGATTATGTGAGGTGGGGCCTACCTGGTCCCCCAATATTTTATTCAAGTTGGCACCCCTGTACCCCACCATCTGCTAATAGGAATTTACCCATACCTCCTTTGTTGGTACAGATACAGGGTTCTGGATGAAGGTTCAGCTCTTTGGAGTCTCACTAGAGGTTTCGTAGACTGGGCCCATCCTTGGATGAAATGGGCCAGAACACCAGCTTCTCAGCACTAATAGGCTGTACTGACGAAATGCAGTGATTCTATACAAACAGGGCTATGACGGCTTGGTTTGGATTGCTTGAAGACACAAAGACGGAATATCACTGAAGCCTGACAGCAAGACAAGAAGCACATTTTGGTTTTCGTTGAAGCGGCTCTCGGAACAGAGGCAAATGAAGGCGTACAAGAGGAAAGACAGAAAATCTTTTCGTGGGTTGTTTTTTTTAACCATCTTAATCCAGGTGTGGGCGGATACCAGTGTCTGAACAGCAACTGTTTCTTTAAAGAAATTGAAGTGACTGAGCCTAATAAGGTATCGCGCAAAAATGGGTTTGGAGGGTTCAGCTTCTAAGTCATTTGCAGTCCTGATCACAAAGTGGTACAACACACGAGCTATCACATATAATTTTGGCACAGTTGGCAGTCCCTTGTCAAGAGAGAGGACTGAGCTTTCACAGCTTTCTCCCTAAAGCAGAGAGTCCTTTATTCAGAAGAAGTCCCCCAGGAAACCAGAGATCTGAGCTTGCAAGGAGAGCTAGGAGGACTTCAATTTTCACTGCAGCCAGTCTCCCTCCACGCATAAACCTGATTCTTTTAAAGCCATTCTAGAGAGATCCTTCCTACAGATCTGTGTGGTGTAAATACATGTGCAAAATTGTGCAAAACTGTTAACTGAGCAACACAAAAATTTGGTACTTCTCAAAACCCAGGGAGAAAATGCTACATGGTAACAAAATGGGGAAATAAGACTGATTGTGGGTTAAACAGTATTCAAAGCACCTTTGAATGTTATTACCTATAATAATTTTCTCTTTTATCAGCAGCGCTAAGTGCTACGGATCCTACTGTGACTACTTTCGGTCTGAAAAGTCTCCAGCTGTGGAAATTGCATAGTCACCAGGCTGTAGATGTGGTTGTGTATTTCATGACATCATGCAATTTGTCGGGAGGCTGCCTTGGGGGTCAATGGAAACTCTGCCACTTAACAATGCAATAACAATTCAGAATGGGGATGGATGTGGCTGGTAAAAGATAAAGAAAAGTGCAAAGCCATGCAAGTAAAGCTTGAGATTTCAGACCCAATTACCATTGGCTGCTGCCACAGATGGATCACCTTTCCCATCAAAGGATCCTACTGAAGCATTTTTTAAAAAAAGAACTGTCAATCAAAAATAAGAAGGAAAGGAAAGGAGCGGAATGATGTTGCTTTGTTCTAACGCGGCATGCAGTGAGTGTGTGCCTTTTTGTGAGGTCTTTTCTCAGAGTAGCCCTGACTGGCAAGTTCATCCCTCCCTTTGTGACAATCAACTAGACAAAGAGGAGTCTCGTCTGCTTTTCTTCTCAGAATAACTGATACGTGCACAATTTCTGAAATGAAGTCCTGGGCCACAGGGCTTCTCTCGATGCTCTCGTTCCACCCAACTTGCAGACGCTGCATGTGCTTTTGAATGTTTACTACTCAAGAGGAGCCTCAAAAATTATACCACCGCATTGTTAGCATCAACTGTCTTGTTGTTTTGGGAGGAGGTCATTGCATATTCAGCTCGACTTGTTCCATTCTCTTCTTTCCTCAGCGGTTTCCTTTGTTGAGGTCCAGTAAGAGTAAGGAGATATATATATATATAGAGAGAGAGAGAGATTGGGAGAAGGGAGAGAAAGAGGATAAAGAGATTAATTAGCAATCAGTGCTAACCATAGCTTATGGGGTTGCAAACACCCCTTCAAACCCTGGTTCGGGAATGTTGGTCTGCACAGGGGATAAAAGGTAAAGGTAAAGGTAACCCTGCCCGTACAGGTAAAGGTACCCCTGCACAGGGGATAAGTAATGTCAATAATCCAAAGGCATATGATGATTTAGGAAGGTTAATGATGGATGAAAACATGATTATATATACCAATGTACTCAGAAGAATTTCCATCTTCACAAAACCTGGTTGGCATTTCCTGGCAGATAAGTACTCAAGTTCATTAGTTTATTGTTCTGGCCAAAGATCAGGACAAACTTACAATAGGCAATAAAAAGGTAAAGGTAAAAGGTAAAGGTACCCCTGCCCGTACGGGCCAGTCGTGTCCGACTCTAGGGTTGCGTGCTCATCTTGCTTAAGAGGCCGTGAGCCGGCACTGTCCGAAGACACTTCCGGGTCATGTGGCCAGCGTGACGAAGCTGCTCTGGCAAGCCAGCACCAGCGCAGCACACGGAAACGCCGTTTACCTTCCCGCTATAAAGCGGTCCCGATTTATCTACTTGCACTTAAGAGGGCTTTCGAACTGCTAGGTGGGCAGGAGCTGGGACCGAACAACGGGAGCGCACCCTGCTGGGGGGATTCGAACCGCCGATCATACGATCAGCAAGTCCTAGGCACTGAGGTTTTACCCACAGCGCCACCCGCGTCCCTTACAATAGGCAATAGTATTAATAAATCTAAAAAAGAAAAAAATCGGTCAGAAACTTTAAATGCTGACATGTAAGGAAATAAGACCTAGCAAGAAAAGGATTAAAAGAATGTAAAATAATGCATTATATTCAATTATGAGTACATCAAATTAGGCTTAAATTAATAAAAACAAATATTCATTTCAGAAATATTAAAAATATGAGACATTTTAAAATGTTTTCTCAGATTGCAGTTCAGAGAAGTCTTTCGTATATGCTAGATGTGTATGCTATTATGAGGTGAGGGGAGAGCCATGGCCTTCTTCCACCTGCCTTGCCCCACCCCCCAGCCCTGGGATTCCTCATAAGGAAGCTGTGCCTGGAGGAAGAAGTGTGCGGGGAGAGACTCCATCATGCAAGGCCTTCTTCCACCTGGCAGTCAATCTACTTCTGGTATCTGTGAGCAAAGCAGTGTGGTGCGCTCTTATAATTTATCCAATCTTTGATTTTTTGGGTGCTAGTTCTTGCTGTGTTTTTCAACTGGAATAAGATGGAAGATTCAATATGTAGTGTGGGAGAGTTAACTTCTAGTGAATGCTATCAGCTAACTTTCAGTCACAGAAAAGAGATTGAGAATGTTAACAGTTTAAGTGAAGAGGACAGAGAGCTGTTGCATTTAAGAACTGAAGTTAAAGCTGAAGACTTAGAAACTATTTGCTTGCATCACAAAGTGTATACCTGAAGAAATTTGAATCTCTTCAAAAAAAACCTGCAGGGATCCTTTTAAAAAGCACAAAGGACCGTCAAAAATTATCTACGCCACATAACATTACAGCGGTCTAAAGATTTGCTAGAGAAAGGAATTAAAGTAAAGCCAGGCGATAAATTGTGCAGAAGATGTAGACAAATTATTTATAGCAATGATGTAGATCAAGGTGATGTTGAAGGCAGTTGCGTTCAACCTGAAGATATAAGTTTAGAAGAAAAGACCAGTTTGGAGAGAAAAGAAGCCATTTAAAGTTTCTGACCGATATTTTTTTTAGATGGATTTCACGATATAGCCATTTTTCATAGTTTTAAATACCCCAAAACTGAAAAACAAGTCTGCACTTTTGAAAAAAACACAAAAACCTGTAATCAATATTATTTTAGATTTTAAGAGGAACAACTTGGTTTCATTAATTTTTTTCTTTGACAGCTATGGATTGTAGGAAAGTTGTACCCAGTAGCCATTTTCCCACCACGATGTCCCAAAAACGTAAAATTTTGTTACAAGACATAAGAGACCCATAAATTTTATTCTTTGTTGAGAAAGAGCATGTCTTTGCAATAATTTTCGCCATCAAAAGCTTTTGATTGCATTGTGCCCTAACGCTGAAAATTTAAGTTTCCTAAACCTAGTTTTTCCATGTAAAAAGCTACATTTATACATTTTTAGGCATTTATAAAATCTTTTGAGTGCTGGTGTATTTTTTCCTGAAATCCTCATCATGTTATTGATCTCTGTGTACAATTTCAAAGAGATCTGATCATTGGTTATGGAGAGAAAAAAAATAAAATGCACACAAGACTGAGGATCTCAAGAGGGACAGAAACACAGATTTCACGAAACTTTGAAGTGCTATAAAATTTAAACCGTTTGAGATAGAGGGAAAAAATTTAAGGGGGTTTCCTTCAACCATAAGGGAAGGGTGTACACCAAGTTTCATCAAAATCCGAGACGGTGGGTGGCGAAACCCTTGCTTTTTGCGTTGATTTGATGTGGAATGACCCTAAAGGAATATGTAGCAAAACCTCCTACTTGGGATAAGGCTTCTTCAACCCCATTACTTGCACATTTGTAAAGGTCCAGGGCTGTCCATGCAAGATATATTAATTTCATTTTGCCGCAATCACTTTGCGGTTGCCTCTGCCTCACTTGCTGAGTCACAACAGTCCAGCATAGATTTCTGGACTAAAATTGGCAATGGAGTTGTGGACGTTTTAACTGAAGCACTCACTACGGGTCTGTGTCTGTGTAATAGCCATATTAAAACTGTTAAATCTGCAGAGTATCCTTTGCTCAAGATGGTCTTCTAAGTGTTTCTTATCAGTTTAAAATGCTGAACCAAAACAACTGCTCTCCCAGTTCCTGTCGTCCAATTAAAATATACGGCTTTTAAGTCCACATAGAAGTAAAAGAGATAAAAGAGATATGCTCCTTGCCTGTTTTATAGCAATTAACATTAACTGCTGAAAGCCAACCGGCTACTATTCAAGATAAAAACAGTTTAAAACTAAAACAGATCGCAGAGCTCAAGGACAAAGCAGCCTTGCTCGTCGCCATTTTCACTTGGAAGCAGATAAGTACTCAAGTTTAACAGAAGTTAGTGGTGGTTTCAGAATAGTACTGGAGGAGGCAAATGACAAAACATGCTCAGCTTATAAGAAGTGTTGATGCTGATGCCTTATGGGTGGAATCCATTATTACGCAAGTGGGCTTTTGGTTATGCCTCTACCCTCCCATGCAGGTCTCCCCAAATCTGCTTCCGATCTTGTTGGCATATGAGGAGCTGCACAGAGGAGAGCGAGAGAAAGTCCTGTTCTTCGTGTGGAAGACTGTTCCACGCAAGAAAAAATTGCTGTCATCTTATAGCTTTCAAGTCTCATTTCTAACTAGTGAGACTTTCAGGAGTACAGATCAAATGTTTTCCTTCTTCATTCTTCTGCATTGTCTATATTTTAAAATATTCAAAATCTGAACATTTGCAGAATATGCATGATTTTTTAAAAAATGATTGCGTTTTTAAAAACTGTACTTTATGGAATTGCAAAATATAGCCTAAAATTATAGGTGATCTATCTGCTGAGGAAAGCAGTTTTTCATTTGAAAGTTTTCATTTTTCTGATTTTACAGAATGCATACAAAGTCAAATATTTTTTTTCTATATATTTTACTTCATTTCATTTTGATTCTCTGTCTCGTCCTTTTGGCCTACCAAGAGCCTTCTCTCAACCACTCCAGTTCCACTTGGCTTTCCTGCCTACTCCAGTACATCTTTTAAGCAGTAGTTATTCAAATTAGTATCTCTTGAGTGTTAAGTACTTTTGAAATCCGTAATACTCACTCTATGGCCAGAAAATACAGGCAGCTCTTTAAAAGGTATTTCATCCACCTGTTTAAAAGATGGCTACATATATGTAGCAGAGCTACATATCACACATTGACCTCTTTGAAAAAATTGGTTTAAAAGGAACAGAGCATTCCAGCTCCGGATAAATGAAAACCGTTCTGCATGGTTCCCAGCAAAGTTATAAAACGGGGCTTCAGCATCTGCCAACCTCTCCATGGCTTCCATGTACGCATTTTCATAACGCCTAAAATCAAGAGAATATCACTTAGAAGTTATTTTAATTAAATATACCCAGTTCTTATTTAAGAGCCAGTGATACCAACATAAAGATAATTTATGGAGACAGACAGATATGGAGCACAATCATCAAAAGGTCATTGCGGCTACGGTGAAAGCAACTTTTAGTGAATCGTGTCCATTTTCCTTGACACCTATTCATCTGGTGCTGGTTTCTATAACACTGAAACTGAAGATAAATTGAACAAAGTAAGTGCCTTAATTGGTTCTGTCCAATTAAATAAAGCAACTAGGCTCACTTTCCATATTGACTGTGAGTCTTCGCTCGTTGAAAGTCACTCTTGGGGTGTCATGGGCCCCTCGACTCTGTCAGTAGTCTTGTGATTCCAGCTGTTGCAGAGTGGGAAGCTGATCTGCTGACTCTCCCCAGAGAGAGCAGAGCCTCATTGTGGAGGGAGGTGGAAGATTGAGAACAGCCAGTGGGGACATAGCAGAAGACAGAGGTTGCTATGGGGAAGGGCGGCAGTCTTGTTGCCAACAAGATGCCACCTCTGCAGATGGGATCGGACTGCACTCATGGACTTCCTGTCTGGTGAGAGACTCTCATGAGTGAGCTCACTATACCTTATCTTTAAAAGCTGGGCAAGAGGGCTGTGCCAACTGTTCGGACATCTCCACTACTTCTGTTCAATTCTGAATATCTTGCCTTGCTCCTGTACAGTGGTACCTTGGTTCTCGAACTTAATCCTTTCCGGGAGTCCTTTAGACTCCCGGAACCATTCGAAAACAAAGGTGTGGCTTCCAATTGGCTGCAGGAGCTTCCTGAGCTCAAGCAGAAGCTGTGTCGGATGTTCAGC